TTCCTATCTTGGGCCAGTTGTGGGTTTTGCTGTCCGTTGGCCGAGTGGGTTGCTCAGGTGCCAGATGGTGTACTTGGTGCTCCCACTGCCACTGTGTCGGCGTGGCATGGCGCGGGTCAAGGGCAGCCAAACCAAGATTCAAAAATCAGCCATGAAGATGTATTTCGCCGTGCTATGCACATCTCCTTGGTGACCATCTGTAGGTCCACCCCGTTGGGTTCGGCAAACTCCTTGGCCCATAGCATGAAGGACCAAGCCACCAGCAGCGCCCCACAACATCTGCGCTTCCAGGTCAACAAACCACGCGAATTGCACGAAAACTGCACTTCAAGTTCGGGGTCCACAAAGTATTTCGCTTGCCACGAAATTTGAAAACGAACCATATGCTCAAAAATCACCAATCACTGCACCTGCCGCAGGCAGAGCACGCCGAAGACCACCACCACGTCCAAAGTGATGCGCCTGCCACGAGATCTGTACACCGACATCAGACATCAAGCCACTCCAATCTCCTGTGCCTGTCGTGATACGCCGACGTTGGACCACCAAAGCACGAGGCTTTCCTCGCGCATACCACGAAAAGTCATCACCAAGTTCAAAAAGTTGCACGGCGTCATAACGAGAGCGCACCTCCCTCAAGCAAACTCTCAGAAGGGTACTTTTCTGCGAGCGTGCGGTCATCTCGTTTGACTCAGCCTGTCTGGCCTTCTGTGGCACTCAGGCCATTTCTGCATTTGCACCTCCGTCATTCCGGTCGCACCTGATTGTCACAATGTTTTGGACGTTGCCTGCACAGATGGGCTGCCATATGAGAAGGTCCAACTTGAAACAACACCTGCGACCACTCGAAACGAGGCAGGGCTCGCCACTTTTGTGGCACCTTGACGGGGGAATGGTGGGGAAGCAGCAAAAGTTATACTAGGCTGAAATGACAAAGGACTTGTGAAAACTACCTCCAAATTGCGGCGGCTAAGTCATGAAGGTTTAGCCTACCCCCCACAAGTATTTATGTCATGAAGCAAAAGCTTGGAAAAACCTCAAAATCAGAGATGCCAGAGGTTGTCACCAAAGATCCTAAAAACAGTTGATTTTATATTGACAAGCATCATGACATACGACTTTGGTATCTAAACAATGAATAAAACATCGAGAGATAGGAATTTGAGAGCAAAAAAACACAAAGGCAGACTTAAATGAGATAGTAATGTGTTTTTAATGAGACAGGACAGGATTCCTAAGTCCCAATTGGCCTAAGTCATCTCACCCTAATCTTCCAGGAGCATGCCCCCCACCA